CATGGCCTTCCAAAAATGAGATATCATATGAAACATTTTTGGAACTTGTAAACTATAGAATAGGTTTGCAAAGGATGATTATTCCCTAAGAGAGCACAGTTGGGGAAATGTTATAGTTAAATAGCATCATGAAAGATATAGTACTGATTCTCTTAGGGAGGGCATTTACATCTATCATAGTGTTTAAAGGAGAGATATTTACCTTTTACAACAGTGAATATTTAATCACTGTTTTAATCAGCTTTTTCACTGCTATGACTAAAGGATCTGCCCAGAACAATTTTAGAGGAAAAAAAGTTTATATGAGGGCTCATGGTTTCAGAGGGCTCAGTCCATAGACAGCTGGCTCCATTCCTGGAACCTCAAGGTGAGGCCTCATGGCAGAAGAGTGTGATGGAGAGAAGCAACCCACATGATGATCAGGAAGCAGAGAGAAAGGGACTCCATTTGCCAGATTCAAAATATATACCCTAAAGGCATGCCCCCAGGACCCACCTCCTCCAGCCACACCCTAACCATTTTCAAACACTACTCAGTTAATCACATCAGGTGATTAATTGGGTTAAGGCTCTCATAGCCCAATCATTTCTCCTCAAACCCTTCTTGCATTGCCTCTTACATGTGCTTTTGTGGGACACCACACATCCAAACCATAACAAGCACTCATCAAGGTCTATTGATTTAAATTTCATAATTTTGCTTTCTTTAATCAAACCTTTTGTATCCTCTTGCCGCCACCCTAATTCAGAACATACTAAAGTTTAAATTATAGCTAGGCTACACTATTCTTTAGTGACATTGCTATCATGAAGAACTTGTGATTTCTTTCTTTTACAACTCTCAACCTGGGACTCACAGCAAAGTCAGTCACAGCTTTCACTCCAAAGCCTGAAAGATGCCTGACAGTGGAGACAAGTTGATCACCTGACTCTGGGATCAATTTTGACATGACACATCAGGGTATTTGTTGGTTTTTACTGCTAGCCCCATTAATGAATGCCCTTGAGATTTGCATTTAGAAACTGGATTCTTACTTGGCTCTTCTATATCACTGATGATTCCTTTATGCTCATCTCTTCCTGAGTCCACATACTGTTTGCAATAATAGTTCTTGAGCCCCTTCATTTCCTTCAGAGAAGGGCTCCTAACACTAAATTAGAGTCCCTACAGCTGAATCTAGGAATCTGCTTATTGTGGGTCTTCTTAAAATCTGTTTTTTAAATGTGTGAATTCTCATCACTTATTTGTTATGTAAACTACTTCAATTGTCACCTTGAAGATTTTGCTAGGTCTCTTAAGATCCTAATGATTCTGCACCTACCTTTACTTATTGCTGGGTCTGCTAGGGTCTAAAAAAGATTTGAGGATTAGGGACTAAATTTGAAGGTTTTGGAACTCTACCTTACTAGTTCACTCAGGGATTTTATTTTTGTAATTGGCTTAATTTTTTTCTTGAATGAAATTTAATTTACATAGCATGAATTGCATAAATTTTAAGAACTACACTATGAGGAGTTTTGACAAATCTACATCCATATAATAACCCACATCTCTATCAAGTTGTAGAACATTTTCATTGCTTCATAAATTTTCCTCTTGCTCTCATCATAGTCCCTAACTGTCTGCCTCTCCCTTGAGAATATACTTCTGATTCCTATCACCAGAGTAGTTTTGTCTGCTTGGAATTTCATGTAAATGACTACATGCGGTATATGCTCTTATTGTCTCATTTTTTCACTTATTATAATTTTTTTTGAGATTCCTCTATATCACTGCATGTTTTAGTAGTTCATTTTGAAAGTTTTAGTAGTTCATTTTTTTGTTTATAAGGGAAGGGAGAAGGGAGGGGAAGGGGAAATATTTGGGATTGAAGGAGAACAAATTATATTACATACTATTATAATTAGGTCATAGTATATTCTATTGTCATGTATAACTAAAAAGAACCAATAAAAAATAAAAGCAAGGGAAGGGAGATCTCTTTACTTGAAAAACAAGAGCTGTTCCTGAACACCTTTAACCCTGTCATAAACTGTACACATGCCATTAAATACTTGGACTTGTATACAAAGAATACTGAATTCAACACTACCCTTTTGAAAACAAGAACTTACATATTCATTTACTCATTTAAAACTCTTCTTTCAAGGCTCTCATAATTTATATTGCTAGTAGAATTCAAGTCAGACATTTAATTAAATACAGTTTCATTTGGAAGAAATTTGAAAAGAGTTTGAAATAGTTAAGGTATTTTTGTATCTCAAAACAAAAATTCAAATATGTAATATTGTAACACAGGTTACCTGCATTAGCACTGGGTATCTCAAAACTCAACATTTCATTATAATTTTTGAGATAAGAAGTTTTTCAATGGGTAAAAGATTTATAAGCCACAGATAATTACAATTAATCATAAATTTTTACTGATTACCTATCATTGTAAGATCATATGTTCAGTTCCTGGAAACTTTCTTTCAGGGAAGACAATGAAAAATAAAAAGGATTAAGTCATAGTTAAGTATAAGGTGAGATATTATATATTCATAAATCTATAGTAATACACAATACAGGATGATTGACACCAAATGAAAAAAAGCTTTTATGAGAGCTTATATAGTGGGCACCCACAAGTATATTTCTCTCATGATAATTAGGTTGAATGATTTTTATATGCTTATGGATCATTTATAAATCTTCCTCTATCATTACCTGTTCAAGTCTTTTTCCAATTAAACAAAATGGTTTGTTCTTATTATTGAATTATACATTTTTTTATGCAATCTAGAATTTCATGTGTATTAAGAAAAATTTCAAATATGTGTCGAGAGTATTTTCTTGCCTATGGCTTGTCTATTCATTTTCTTAATGTGACTTTGGATAAGTGGAAGCTTTTAATTTTTATGAATTCTACTTAAAAATTATTATTTTTTAAATTGTTATGCTTTCTGTATCCTAAGAAATGTTAGCCAAGTCCAAGATCAGAAAGCTATTCTTTCTTCTAAGAGATATATTTTAGTTTGATAGTTTTATAGATTTTAACTGTACTGTTCAGGTGTACAACTTATTTTGAATTAAGGTTTATACTTATAATGTAAGGTAAGAGCTGAAGTTCATTGTTCCTCATTGATATTGAGTTATTGGGATTGACTTTTCCTATCCAAACTTGGAATACCGGGTAGGGATGTAGCTCAATAGTAGAGAGCTTGCCTAGCATTCCCTGGATTTGATTCCCCGCACCATGAAAACAACCAACCAACCTCCCAAAACTTAGAATCCAATAATTTAAAAGTCAGTATAACAATTTCTTTCTGTTATAATTGTTTGACTATCAGTCCATATTTTTGAATGAGATATTTATCATGTATAGACAGAGCCCGTAAAGACTAAAAGTTGGTAGTCAATTGATTCTTACTGAATTTGAAATTAGGGCAAAGGGACATGGAAAAACATGCTGTGCTGACTTAACTGACAGAAAAGTCATCAAAGTCTTTCATTTTCAAAATTCCTTTCTGAATAAAACAACAATAGCAACAGTGATACAAAAACAATAAAACCTTAAGTGGTCCCTTACAGGTCTATGATGTGTTTCAGTGTCTACAATCACTGCTGAGTTTAAATCTGTTGCACATTTTGTTTTTTTTTCTGGAAAGGTGTGGAAGAAGCTTCTTATTCAGATAAGTATGCAAGTTATAAAACATAATGTAGAATCACATAAAACTCAGCACTATTTGGTTGCAGTAGATAGAAACTCGCCTCAAAGACGGGAGACAACAGGAGGGAAGGTAGGAAACAAAACAGAGGACTTTTAAGATTTTTTTTAAACCAAATGTTTCATGTAGGATGGAAAATGTTGTCACATTCTGAAAATATGGATGTATAAACAACTGTGGTTGTGCTCAGTTTGTAGTGATGGAAAGTATATTTTAGGTTGGTCAAATAAATGATGCTACAATATTTGATATACCAACAATAACAAAAAGAAAAAGAAAAAAAAAGAGACCAGAAACCCACCTCAAAGGTATTTAAGCAAAAAAGGAATTGTATTTGATTATGTAGTTTGAGAAGTCAAGGCTTAATCATGGTTCAGGTAATCTATGCAGATACTGAACATTTTGCTTATGAGAGAAAAAGTTAAAACTTTTGGTAAATTTAATTTCTTTTTAAATAGTGGAACTAGCCAACAGATCTTGGTCCATGAAACTATTATTAAAATAGTGTGGAGACTTAAAAATACCTTTATACTGTCAAAGGCAGAGAAACTACTTAAATACGATATTTGCTCCCAATAGTAATAATGCAATTTGCATCACTTTTCCAGATAATTATCTATAATTAGAAAAAAGAAGCCTGATTTGTTAATTCAAATCATCAGTATTTTCTTTGTACACTTTAAATGCAAGCTAAGCCTCAGTCTCTTGAGTTTTATTTAAGTGGGTATTTTTTCCAGGATTTTTATGACAGTAAGAACACAGAACAGAGAAATACTGTTGTGCAAATGACCTCTGTGGTCCAGGTGAGACTTCAATGCTTGCTTCTTCTCCGAGTTCATGACCATCTCTCATTTGTTTTGACATTTAGAAAAATACTGCATGTCTCTCCCCCTGCTGTTTGCAAAAAGCTGAGGTAGTTGAAAAACCGAGGTTGGCCGCATTTCCAGTGTTTTTTGTTTGTTTGTTTTGCTTTTGATCTGCTGATATTTGTTCCCGGTGCTGCCATGCAAACGACCAGAGCTGCATGGAGTGGACTGTTTCTCGGTGCTCTGCAGACTGGCTCCCCCGAGTAGTCGCTGATATGGGTGCCTGTGAACCCTACTTCTTTACATTTTGCCTGCTCCTCATTTCGCCAGAAAACACAGAAGCTGTAGCTGCGCATAGACTTTTTCCTTTTTCTTTTTCCCCCTCTCACCCCTCCCTAGACCTCTCTGGGCTTTGACGTCATGTGTGCTCCTTTCAGTTGCCATAGCAACCCCATTCCCCAAGCCCTCTGTCCGTCTCCTCTGGTAGGTTCCACAATGGTACAGGCAGCATCACGCTGCACAATGGTTTCCAGGCAGTGAAAGAGGGTGATTCAGCAAGCCACTCTCCTTCTTCTTTTTTAAAATCCTCCCCTTTTCTTTTTATTTTTATGGGGGTTGGTGGTGCATGTTATATGCTTACCTTTTTTTTTTTTTTCCGTTTTCATTTTTACAAATTTCTTTTTTTCTCCTCACCCCTCAATTCCTAGGGGCTTGAGTGAGTTTAAGACTGGGTCTTCTTGGAAATCACCTCTCTATCATTAATTTTAAATAATCTCTCCACCTCCAAAAAATTATCTTCCTCATTACAGTTTGGAATGTGGTCAATGAAAACCAAGTAGGGAGGATTTCTGGGGCAGACATTGCCGGATCAGGATCGTAGTTCTCAGACACGGAATGGTAGGTGGCTCTTTGCTCATTCTGGGTTCTAACCTGTTTTTGGAGGGTGGGGTGATGTCTATTCATTGCGCCTGGTGGAGTGGGATAGGGAGCATGGGAAAGTGGAGAGAGAGATGGTGTGGAAAGCAGGTTAATCAAGCGAACTACCTCTGAAGCCACTAGCTTTTCTCTCTAGGCAGAACATTTCTTCCAAGACGTAGGCATGTTGAAAATCTTTCTGTTTGGAGTAAAGGGTGACAAAATGTGGGAAGGAAGCTTATTATCGTGACCAAGGGATTTTAGATCAATGTAGAGTTACAGAAGGGAAGAGAGAAACATACATATATTGGTGGTGGTGGTGGGGGCAGCTGTGCTTGATAGAAGTGCTGACCTCAGTTCTCCATATGTGAAATACTATGGGTCCCACAAAACATTTAACAATAATGTCACTTATTATCCATTTGTGCTTACTTCTTGACAGGTATACCTTAAATATGTTGGGACATTTTTATAGTTTAGTAAGAAATGGTGTGTATATATATATTTTAGTTGTAAAACTAATGACATTCCTCTTGTAGAGAGACTCTGGGCTAAATTTGGACCCAGGAAGGAACATAGAACAGGAGTCAGGTTAGAAATAAGAAGAAACATTGGCACTGCAGTCACATAGGTAAGGGGTCCCTTTAAGAAAGTGATCTCCTAGTCACAGCAGAAGCATATATATTTTTTTTTTAATGGCAAGGTTCCCAGTTATTCTATGCTGGGATACTGTGTCCCCGAGAAATGTCAGAGCTTTTTCAGGGGGAAAAAAAGATGTATCATTAGAAAAGAGCATTGCAATATATTTATCAGAACTTATGTATCTGTGCTTTCAACAAAATAAATATGGTTTAATTGAAAATCTTCAAGCAAGTCAGGTTATAGATAATCTAAGAAAATTAAATGTGTGTGTATATATGTATATAAATTATATATATATGTATATGTATACACACACACTTTTTTTTTCTCGTCCTATATTTAAATCTAGAGATTGAGTCTCTGCTTTTACTCCCTTAAACAGACAACTTCCAAGGGTACAGCAATTTAGCTACAGAAAGAGCCTGACTTATCCCATGGCAGCGGGCTCTGAAGCAATCACAAGGTTGTTTACATGAGCTGCCTTTGCTGCAGAGCCTGACAGTGTCGTGCAGCAGTCTTGCCTGTTTCTCGTGTGTTGATGATAACTTTCATGAACAAACTGGAAGGAAGCAGGCTAAATCATATGGGACAGGCCACAGTTGAGACTGAAAGAAAATGGGTGTAAGTGCACCAGGCACTGCCTGCCCAAGGTCCAGTTTCTCCCTCTATCCCTAATCTGCTACTTGTCAGACCTTGGAAGATCTCCCAGAATGCTGATCAACATATTTAAAATGGTTGCAGTAAGGACCTTCTCTCTCAGAGAAGCTTCTGTAAGTGTTTTACCTTAGATGGGCATATATGTATATCAATACAGATAGTGTGCTCATGAATGAGCTTACAAAGCTTCCAACTCCACTCTGGAACCATTGGATTTGGGGGGCTGGGCAATTTGGATGAAGCAGTTCTGCACTCTCTGATATGTATTTCCTTCTCTGTCTTGACCTTACCCTTAAAATTGACTTAAAGTATTGGATTAGCTTATTTCACCACGTGGAGCAAACTCTGTTTTCTCTCCCCCACAATGGGACTAGAAAATGAGATGACAAAGGTGGTATGACCTTAAATATTAAAGACTCTTCATGCTTCATCATTTACATATCATTCCTTCCCGCTGTTGTAAAAGTCTCTTTAATTTGAGAGGCTCCTGATCTTACCAAATCTCGGCAGTTTTGTTAAAAAGATTCTTGGTGATGAGGCAGTAAGAAATTATATGTAGAGTGGAAAAATCAGCTGCCTACAGCTTCCTGCTTGCTCGCCCCAGAACAGCATCTGCTGCGGGGAGGAGTATGTTTGCCATGCTGGAAGGGGATGTTTATGAACAGATCCCAGAGGGACTGAGTGTTTTGCTGTCATTGTCTGGTACGTCTGCCACTACTAGTATTTAATGGTTAGGTATGTCGTCAATATTTTTCAAGGTTAAAATGAACTGAGAGTTGATCGTGGATGCTATAAAATATAACTATTTTACATTTACAGGAAAATTAATTTGTTATTAGTGTATCCTGTAGAAATAAAACAAGCACAAGGAATTTGTCTAACCTAAGTAACCTGAAAAAGCATTCCATGTTTAAAAGCGCATATTTATTTTTAAAGTTTCATTATGGCTTCATGTGAATGAATCTGTTTCTTTGGATGTAAGCTTAGCTACAAAGTCTTTTTATACTGATGATAAAAGATAACGAAAAATTAGGATTTTTCTTGTTTTTAGACATAGGCATAGGTATTCTTCCTTGTTCTAGCTTTGACCTCAGGTCACATAGTAGCTAAAGGACTTGGAGTGGAATTGGTATGTTCAAATAGAATGGTGGCTTGGTTATTTATCAGAAAAACAAGAGAGACTTCCTTCAATTAGTATAAGTAAACAAATTGACACTTTAATTTCATCTTTCTTCATGGCCCCTTTTATTTCATCTTGCAGTCTCTTTTAAGCTTTGGGTTGGACGTTGCAATGGTCATGCAAAAAGAGGCACAAAAGTGTCCAGTAATGACAAGAATGGAGTCCAGTGCTCTATTTGCTGCAGGCTTGCTGAGAACCTCCTTTCTTTCCCCTCATGCATTGATTATTGCACCTCCTTCTGAGCACCAAGGACTTGTGGAGAAAGTTGGGCCTATAGACTACTGGGAGAGATGCTTATTGGCAAAGAACAGAATCCATTTGTTTCTTTAGCATATTAAATATATTTATTGCATTACATAAGTCTGAGATGAGACACTGCTGCTGATTCAGATAAAAAAAATCATGCTGCATATTGATTGTTTGAAAGCAAATGTAATTTAGAATTGGAGTCTGTGTTTTCAGAAATTCACCTATGTAATGCATGTTTTCTTAGGGAAGTCATAGATTTTGACAGAGATTTTTCAGTTTGAGTACATTTTACTCTTATGAGCAAGGAAGGGGAAAGCAAAAAGTATCTTTTGGGGACTAAATTTTTCATGCACTAAAAGGAGACAATCTTTATGTCTTATTGTGAATCTAGATAAGCAGAAACATCAGGTAATATTGACAATCTCTACATAGAAAGAAACAGGTTTGGAAGTAGTACTCAAACATACTTATTTTTGGTGAAGGATTTTCTAGCTTAATTGGCGTTTTGGACACTTAAGTCTAACCTAAGTATGGCCTTTTTCAGCATTCTTATCTCTAGTTACTTACAGTGGAAAACCCATAGGTTTAAGGAAATAATACTTATAGGAATGGAAATCCAGGTTTTGAGTGGAAAAAGAAATGACTGAAGGCTCCTTTGGAAGCATTCCTGACTATAGCTGCTTTAAAATTAAAACCCTGTGCAGTGTGCCAGGTTAAGGCCAAACTCCCTGATAGGGTGACCAGGCATTTGCAGAGTAGACTGCATAGTAATAAATGGGATTTCTTTTTTTTTCCTCTCCCTCTTCTATTTCTCCTTTCTCTTCTTTTTCTCCTATTCCTCCTTCTTGTTATCCTTTCCTCCTCCTCCTTCTTTTGGGCTATAGGGGGAAAAAATGAAAACAAAGCCCCAAACATCAGTGAATTGAAAGTACTAGAAATTCATCTTAGTGGCTTATCCTCATAGAAATAAAACTAACTCCCTGTTTATGGATGTTAACCTGATATGCCTCCTGACAGTGGGTTTCTTATAGTAAATGTCTTCACCTTATATACTGGAAATAGGATTTTAAACCACTGTAAACGAGGTCTGCTTATTTGGCAGTCTGCATTGAGTGTCTGTAGGAGGAACTTCTGTCATGGCACTTATCACATAATTCAGTAATTGCCTCTTCCTGTATTAGCTGTATTATCTGTATTCTCTACTGATTTATAATCTATGTCCCGGAATGATTTTGTCTGGCACATAGTAGGGACATAATAAATATTTATTGAATGAATATCTTCCATGCACAGAATTCTACTAAGTGCTATGAGAGGAAGAAAGTTTCCATAATCTGGTGCTTACAGATGTTTGGGGAGATGAGGATTTTGATTAAGGACCATATAAGTGGGTTAACAAGAAGTGCAATAAGAATTTAGAGGAGAAAGAAATTCAACTTCTCTGAAATGGTGATAGGTGACAATGGGGGCCACATTAAGACATTGGGGAGGGTTGAGAGGGTGGTTGTGTGGGAAGTATTCCTAGGAGTAGTTGTAACTACTTGGCAAAGAAAGATACTCTTATTTGGGGCAGAGTTTATGTTGGGTGTGGTGACCATACTCTCCAAACCAGAAATCAAAACTTATGGCTTAACAATTGGTAGAATATTGAAAACTGGCACAGTTCAGGAACATTTGGTCCAATTTAATGTGGGGCGTAACAGGTACTAAGGTCAAATAGCAGGTTTGTTGCTGAATCAGATAATGGAAGAACATTAATACAAGTGTCTTTCCAGCTTTCAACAAATTTCAGGCTACTTTTACTCTATTTAACATAATTCAGAGGTTTTCAACACTTTCCTCCTTTTATTGGTAACTATGTAATCCATTGTTCCAAGGAAATCTTATCTGAAAATCAAAATATGTAAATACATGTAACCTGGTATCCATCGTAGTCGAGGCTCAATTGATGCTTTTTATTATAAAACCAAGTTCGTGATCATAAAACCAAGTATCATATTGACCCAAATGACAATTATTAATTGGATGATTGTTAAGATATTAAAATATCTAACTGATCTGATATTTATAATGTCAGTGTTCTTGTGCTTGCAACAACTTCTGAACACTACCTTGAGATGTTTTATTTCCTCCTCGTGCACCTTGCCACCTGAAAATTATTCTTATTCTCTTTGATGTTATTCTTTGGTTTTTAAGTGCAGATAAAATTTCTTTTTAAGTCTTAAAATCAAACTCATCTGTTTTTTGGCTTTGATTTTAGGCTAGCGTGAGAAATATCAACAGCAGGACCATCTCAGATCTTGGTTATGGCAACTCATGCAGGAAGCTGTTGAATTAGACCCATTTCCTATAGATGAGAAACCATATAAGCAGTGGTAAGTTGGAAATTTAAAAATGTTCTTTAACAGGACATCTAGATCTGCATAACCCATTTACATATCACACCTGGTTTAGCATATAGATCCAAGGAAATACTGCTCCAAACAATGCTATCTAAAGTGGAAATCTACAGGATAGAATGTTGAATTGATGGTGTGGTACTACTGATACCACATATAGTAGTATAAAATCTTGACCTCATGATACTACCATCAGGGACCATACCAGCTTACGTAAGTTGTCCACAATTAACAATTTCATATGGCAGGGACATATGAGTTGGAAAACATTATTTTAAAGTGGCTTTTCTTATTTGTACCTTAATACTATATTTTATTGATTAAACAAACTCCTTTTATAGAAAAGTTGGTTCTGATAAATTGTAAGGCTCAATTCCTTTTATAAACATCCCCTACCATTTAAATCTTCAGAAAAAAAGAGAAAGGAAATCACATCACAGTTTTATAAGATACAATTTATGGACATTTTAGCCTATATATCCTCTTGCCTGAAAAAAAGAATATCAAAAATAGATCCAGTTGCTCTGCCTACTTGGACTAATTTTTAAAAAGCTTATTATTTTATAAAAATATTAGCACATACAGGCAGAATACATTTTTAAATCAAATTCTTGATGCTTCCTACTCACCAAAGTCAATAATCAATACACTCAAGCAGAGATGAATGAGTTATAATCTGTCAAATACCATCTTTGAGAAATAGACTATGACAGTGGTGCTTGTAAGGCTCCAAAAGAAGCTGTTTTGAACTAGTGATCAATATTTCTCTTTCATTTGCCTAGTGGCTTATATAACTCTACATGGGCAGGCTGTCCTATGACTTAATACATAACATCTAGCTACAGTAATCTGATGAAATTAACCCTATTGTTGTTTCACATCAATTCGCATAATTTTTATAGTCTGCCTACATATTTTTTGAGAAAGCTTATCTGATAGTCATTTTGCTATACTTAATCAAAATTCAATGAGTACTTGTTAGAAGAAGAAATCATATAATGATCAATATTTTTTGACCTAAAATAAGGGCAGTATTATATGGTTAAACTTAAAATGTTGAATTATGTGTAATTCTCAATGATGTAGAAAGTATATATTGCCGCATTCTAAACATTTATTCATTAAGGAAATAGTTATTTAATTTGTGATGTATTTATCATGCTTAGATTTGGAATAGATGAAAGTCTCTGCTTTAATAGAGTTTTCAGTCTAAATAGTGCCATGCATATAATAAAATGTATTTTTAGTGAGGCAGACATAAAGAGTGTGGTACTTACCCAGTGCTGTTACATTGGTAGACATAGGAAGTACAGTGGAGGAAAATCTAGCATGGATGTGGTTGGAATTAGTCAAGGAAGGCTTTCCAGAGGAAGTGACATTTTAGTTTAATGTTAAGTGCAGTAAGATGTTAGCCTGAGGAAGGGTGGGATCATTGCATGATGGGAACATTTTTCAATAGACTGCAAACTTGAATGAGCATGATTGTTTGGAGGCACTAGATACCATTTCCTATGCCAGAACATAAATGGTAGTGGCAGAGATGTAATGAAGAGGGATATAGGAGACATCATGAAAGATCTTTTAGACAAAGGTAAGGAGTTTGGATTTGATCCCTAAGTGAAGAGCTTTTTAAAGATTTTAAGTAGGAGAATGATATGATCAGTTTATTTTTTAATCATGAAATATACACATAGAAAAATATATTAAACAAATATGGGTTAAAGAATAATTATAACCCACATTTTATATACTACTCATACTATGGAATAGACTCCCAATAAACCCCTGGATGCCACTTTCCAATCACATGCTTTTCCTTCCCCATCAAAGAAAACCACCCATGACTAAACTGCCTTATGTTATGTTAATTTCCTGCTTTTATTTGTAGGCTTCCCATTTACAATGTGTGTATGTCTCCACTATACATCTTAGTTTCCTTATGCTTCAACTCCATTTTATTTGTAATCAGTGTGTGTATATATATATATAATTAATGCACAGAATATTAATAAATATGACTATTAATATATTAATATACACAGTATGTATGTATACATTTATATATATATATATATATATATATATATATATATTATTAATCACTTGATAATTGTGCTTAACATCGTGAAATTCTCCCATGTTCATTCATGAAGCTTATTCATGCAAACTACTGCTTAGTAGTCTACTCTAATATACCAAGAGTTTACTTACTGGTTCTACTGTTGATGAACATTTGAATTGTTTCTATATTACTCATACTACTATAAAATATATAATATCACTTTTTATGTTAACACACATATTATTGCTCATAGATTCTCCCCCACACAGGTAAGCACTCCTCGAGGCTAAATACCAAGAGAAGGAATTACTAAGTTTTGGGGTATGTACACCGTTAATTTTACTAAATAATTCCAAAATACTTTTTCCAATTGGTTACACTCTCAGAAGTGGTATAGGAGAAACTCTACATCCCCGCCAACACTTGATTTACAAGTTCTTAAGCTTTTCTAATCAGGTGGATACATAATTACACTCATTGAAGTATTCATTTGCATTTTTCTGATTGCTAATGAAGAGCATCTTTTCATTTTTTATTGGCCATTTGATCTTCCTCTTTTGTGAAGTGCCTGCTGAAATCTTTTCTGAGATTTGTTTTTCAAAATAATAAATAACATTTTTGGTGTTCTTACTGTGTAATAGGCACTATGCTTAGCACTTTATAAACATTTAATCTTCCATCATCTCTATGTTTTACAGATGAAGGAACTCAGGTTTTGAGAGGCTAAATAAATGCTGACATGTACACAGTTAAGAAACAGTGGACTTAGCATCCAGTGCTAGGCTAGGTCTTTCTGATGGCAGTGTTCTTTAGTTTTGTGGAGTGCTTGGAAGAGGATTACATTGGAGCCAGAGAGAACAATACAGGTGCAAGAATTTTTGGAAAACAGTAAGGGCATAAACCAAAGAATTGTTAGTAGGGCATATGTGCCACACAACTAGACTTGGTAATGAATGTGGTGGATAAAGAAGAGGGAGGATTTAAAAGGTCTCAAATTTTGACACCCATTGGTGTAGCAGATTCAATTTTAGTTGCACAGTGTATGCTTATAGTCTGGGCATTATGGTAGATTTTAAGAACTATAATTAAGTAAGAGATGATTTTAGTTTACAGGTTCATCAATTTTAGGGTTTAAAGAGACCACAGTGTTTATTTGGGTCAAATGTGCTTTTTAAAGATGTGGTATGAGCAGCTAAATAAGGGTAAGTGGCTTGTTCAGGATCACGTGCTACTAAGTGTCAGGCTAAGAATAGACACTAGGGCTGGGAAAAAAAGTGAAGAAATAACAGCCACTTGACTTTTAAATTAATACTTGAAAATATAGTCAACCTATTTTATTTCCTAAATGTTTCTCAGGTCAATCTCCTTTGATCCTTAATATATTATCTATCATTGCCATGATTTAGGCCCTGATCATCATTGCCAGCAGGTTTATTTAAGTGGCCTGACATGATATCTTTTCCAATTCTACCAATGAAGTCACAGATTTTTAAATTTGATCTGAGGTTACCATCCAATTTACCAGCTTAAAGTTTCTTTGATATGCTTTATCCCTCTATGTAATAATTTCCCTTCTCACTAAAATATACCATATTCCTGTCCACCCCCATTTTAGAGACTAATGCCCTCTTAAATTGCCTGCGGACATCAATATGCCTTAGTTTCATCACATACACACTCAGGCATTTCTTACCTCTGATATTTGCTTCATAGTGTCTGTTCTACCTATATTCACTCCATCTATCCTTATAGATATCCCCCAACTTATGATGCTTTGACTAATGACTTTTTGATTGTGCAGTGGTTCAAAAGTGGAACTAGGAACTGGTTCAGTAGGAACTACATATTCAGTAAGGACTATATATCAAATTTTGAATTTTGATTTTTTTCCCCTAGTGATATATGCTGTATGGATGTTCTTTTGTGATATTAGGCAGTAGCAGTGAGCTGTCAGTCAAATGAGACATGCAACCCTTTATTATAAAATAGGCTTTGTGGTGGATGATTTTGCCTGACTGTGAGCTAGTGTAAGTGTTCTGAGCATATTTAAAGTAGGCTAGCTGAGCTATAATGTTTGGTAGTTTAGGTACACCAAGTGCATTACTGACTTAGGATATTTTCAATTTCTGATAGATTTGAGTGGGGACATAACTCCATAGTAAACTGAGAAGCATCTGTACTTAGACCTTGTTATCCTTTGAAACATTTGCCACTCTAAGATGATCTATGGACCAGCAGCATGGGCCTCTCCTGGGCTTAATAGAAACAGAGCATCTCAGATTCTTCGGAGACTCACTGATTCAGAATATGCATTTTAACAAGGCTCTTAGGTTTTTATGCACATTATAGTTTGAGAGTTACTGCGTAAACTTGTTTTAGATTGCATGAGATGGCTTCTCCTGAAAATCTTTCCTGATTCCTTCCATTTAGCATTTCTTTTCAGGGCTCTCAGTCACCTGTGCATATCTACTCACAGAGTTACCACAATGGCCTATTATCTGCTTATGCATCTGCCTTGCCACTCCATCTTAGCCAGGGAGTAATTTGAGCCAGATTGATTAACCTTTTGATTTCCCCTCACATAGCACAGTGCCTCATACTCTGTACTTGGAAGGCACTGCATAAATATTTGCTGAAGGACAGCTTGATGAAGGAAGGAAGAATGAGAAAGAGAGAGATATACAGAATGACAGAAACAGAGACAGGACAAAGGTGGACTCAGGAGGAAAAAAAACACAGGAGACTTTCATAGAGAAATACTTTGATTATATAAAGGCACTAAAAATTGTACCTCTGGATAGAGTCTGAAAACCTATTATTTAAATAGGTTAGGTTAAAAGGCCAAATGTTTTCTCTGATATATGAATGCTAATTCACAATAAGGGGTGGGGGGATAATAATCGTATTTTGGACT